GCTTCTTGTAGCAATGGTTTTGAAGGGACTGCCAGAATCATTTAAACCATTCGCCATACACATCACGCAAATTGACCGGATAATAAGTTTTGCTGAATTTAAGACTAAGCTCCGCAGCTATGAGGATACTGAGCGAATGCGCACACCGCCACCAGAGGACAACGTCATGAGGGCGCGGGAACAGTTGAGAGCGAGACGACCCTCTGTACCAAGAGCATGGGATAAAGGAACCAAGTGTGCGGACATTGTTTGTTATAGATGCGGCCTGAGTGGACACAAGGCCGGAACGTGCCAACGTAAGCTGTGGTGCAGTCATTGTAAGAGCAACACGCATCGGGATGCAGCCTGCAGGCGGAAGCAGCGACGGGAGGACGACGCGCGGAAAGCTTCGGATGAAACGACTGGCGAGGAGTATGCTTTCCGAGTCAACGACGTAGACAACAAGGTCCAGCCAGGACGCAGCATCACCGAGAGAGGACTGATGGTGGACACAAGGGCGACTTCACATAACGTCACGGATGTAACAAAGTTCAAGAGGTTTGATGATGACTTCCAGGCTGAGTCCCACTGTGTGGAATTAGCTGATGGTACCAGGTGCAATGGTGTAGCAGAAGGAAGAGGGGACGCTGTTATTATTATGGTGGACAGCATGGGGAAAAGACACAAAACAACTCTGAAGAAGGCGTTGTACATCCCATCGTACCCCCAAGACATTTTTTCTGTGAAAGCAGCTACTACCAAAGGAGCAACGGTAACCTTCAAGCAGGGCAAAGACGTCCTGCAACACAAAGACGGTACAAAATTTCACATTTATGAATTGAACAGACTTTATTTCTTGAACACAGTAAATGATGAATGTGATGACCAATGCAACAGGTGTTATGATTTACAGACATGGCATGAGATCCTGGGACACTGTAATTATGATGATATTCAGAAGTTACAGAATGTTGTTAATGGCATGTCAGTTAAGGGTAAGGTAAACAAACCTCCACATTGTGATGTATGCACTAAAGGGAAGTTTACCCAAACCAGGAACAGGGAGCCTGATGTAAGAGCCAAAGCAGCTCTAGAGTTGGTGCACACAGATATAGCAGGACCAATAGATCCGCAATCCAGAGAAGGCTTTAAGTATGCTTTATCATTCACAGATGATTACTCCAGTGCAGTGTTTGTGTATTTCCTTAAAAACAAAAGTGACACAGTGCAAGCAACAGAGAGATTTCTGGCCGATACTGCCCCATACGGGAAAGTAAAATGTATCAGGTCAGACAATGGCACAGAGTTCACAGGGAAACATTACCAAGCATTACTATGCAGTAATAAGATTAGACATGAAAAGTCAGCACCGTATTCCCCACATCAAAATGGCACTGCTGAAAGGAATTGGCGCACACTTTTTGACATGGCCAGGTGCATGCTTATAGAAAATGAGATGCCAAAAAGTATGTGGACCCATGCAGTACAGACAGCAGCTGTAATAAGGAATAGATGCTTTAACAACCGCACAAAACAGACACCTTACTTTATGCTGACAGGTAGACGGCCTAACCTTTCCAGAATGCACAAGTTTGGGTCAGTGTGCTATGCCTATAAGCAAGACAAAAAGAAACTGGACTCAAGGTGTGAAGAGGGAATTTTTGTTGGATATGACAAAAATAGTCCAGCCTACATGGTCTATTTCCCTCACAGTGGAAAAGTGCAAAAATCTAGACTTGTGAAGTTTGTGACCAAGACCAATTCAGAAAGAGAAACACAAACAGAAACCGTCTCTGATGATGATTTTGAGGTACAGAACAAATCTGGCAAAATCAAACGTGATACTAACGTAAGTCCAGTATCTATACCTGTGGTAACAGAGACAGAAGACGACAAGAGTGAGCTTAGGCGTTATCCTTCAAGAGTGAGGAAGAAGCCAGCTTACTTATGTGACAGTGTATGTGGTAAGGAAAGTGAGGATCAGCTACTGACAAATATTGACTATTGTTACAGATTAATGTGCAATATCCCTTTAACATTTAGGGAGGCTGTAACTTCATCTGAGTCAAAACAATGGGTTATTGCAATGGATGAAGAAATGCAATCACTAAAAGAGAATGACACATTTATCCTGACTAACTTACCTCAAGATGAGAAAGCAGTGGGGGGTAAATGGGTGTACGATATCAAAACCAATGTTGATGGATCCGAAAGATACAAGGCACGATGTGTAGCCAAGGGATACAGTCAGAAGAGGGGTGAAAACTATGATGAGACATTTTCACCTACCGCTAACCTCACCAGTATCAGAGTGTTAATGCAAAAAGCAGCACAGGAAAATCTGATTTTACACCAAATGGATGTTAAAACTGCTTACCTACATGCACCAATAGACTGTGAGATATACATGGACCAGCCAGAGGGTTTTGAGGTCAAATCTAGTAAAGGTGAAAAACTGGGTTTACAAGCATACAGCGATGCAGATTGGGCTGCTGATCTAACCGACAGACGTAGTATGTCAGGTTATTGTGTTAGCCTTAATGAGAGCGGGCCACTGGTTTCCTGGAAAACCAAAAAGCAGCCAACTGTTGCTTTATCAACTTGTGAAGCCGAGTATATGGCTTTAGCAGCTACTATGCAGGAGTGTATGTACTTAATACAACTACTGGAGGGCATTGACAAATGTGAATATACACTACCTACGATTTACGAAGACAACCAGGGTACAATAGCGTTGGCAAAGAATCCTGTTAACAGACAGAGATGCAAGCACATTGACATTAAGTATCATTTTCTGAGGTCAACTGTGGAAGGGGGAAAAACAAATCTGATTTATTGTCCAACAGACCAGATGGTGGCAGATGTTATGACAAAACCTCCACCAAAGTTTAAGTTGATTAAGTTTGCAAAGTTTATGTTTGGTGAGTAACAATTTCTGTAAGGTAGAGAACCTTATAATGTTTTTATTTGTTAAAAGACCACAAATGTGTTATCAAGTGGGGGTGTTAACATTCAGGTAAATATGTTACCAATTTGTGTTATTTGTTGTGCATGACTGGAAGCCAATAGCGTAACAGGTTAAAGGTCAATGATGGGTATAAATAAAGCCACGCCTCCAATGGGAGGGTCCGTTGAATGAAATGCCACTGTCTCTGATGTTTCGTTACTCCTCCGCTTATTTGGATGCTAAACAGCAATGAAGTTATGCTTACTCTGCTAACAGGTAGGGTGTAGGGCGTGGTTTGGGATTGGGCCTACCCAGGCCCGGTTCTACGGGGATGCATAAGGGAGAGTCGTCAGTTGAGTCGTTATGCACCATCATTTGAAAAATGAAAAGTGATATTACATATATAATAACAATAATAATAATAATAGTAGTAATAATAATAATAATAAGAAGAAGAATATAGTTGAAATAAAATAAATTGTAATTGTGGTTAAATAACATTGTCTGCTCCATTTATTTGGTCAATTTAAACGGTAAGTAACGTTATTATGTCAGGTGCGCGTGACCTGTGACGCTGCGCGTTCGTCATCTGCAAGGTGCTTACACAGCAGTCAATGATGGACATCAGAAAATGGTTAAAACAACCAGCCCTTATCGCCAGCAGTAACACTGCATCTACTGCAGGTAATAACAGTTCAGATCATGGGGACATTACGTTACCCGCGGCCACTGTCGTGGACACTAACATCCTCCCGCCTGACTCGCCGGCTTTGCCCGCCTCGCCCACGGAGGCGGAGCAGCCGCAGCCGTCTTCGTTGCCCCAAACACCGCCACCCCTCGGCGGCCCGCAAGTGCCAGAGGACCTCGGCAAAACAGAGCCTGCCCAGGTATATTTAAAAAAGTACCCAACTCGCCTGTACAGTGGGGGTAAGGCGCTCATTTTGCAGCTCATGGTTTCAAAACAGAGATTGGCTGGAATATTCATGTAAAAAATATGCTATCTTCTGCTATGCATGTAGACATTTCGGTCTTAAAAGGGGAGTGATTTTTAAAATACCCATAAAGAAAAAGTAAATCTGTTTACAGTTCTGTTTCATATGGGTGTTGAGATGTATCCATAGATCTCTTCATTTTGCTCTCAAAGTGCACCAGATTGATGCTTTTAACTTCAATATTTAAAAAAAAATCTTCCCAAGGGAGCATGCCCCCGGACCCCCCTAGAGGCGGTGAGGAACCCCTAGAGGGTGTTAGGTCCATTCCCCACTTAAAAAATAGCACTTTACCACTGCACCCTCTCTAATCTTAGAGAGAGTGACCCTGAGTCATTTTGTTCTAGAACCGGGCCTGGGCCTACCTGACCGGACTCAACGCTGTGTGTGTCCGTCAGGAAACACGCTGTTTACAAGTAGTTCCAGCAAACATCCACTGATAAATTGCGATGTTAACAACCTCATGATAACCTCATATTTTTTTATTTAGGATCGTATATCTGTGTTTAGTCAAGGTAAATGTGTGCATTTTATTATAAAGTTGTGTATATTTACAGACTGTTGCAAAAACTAAGAAGCTTATACAAATCAGGTGTAAAACTAAAAGAGCTTTACAAATAAGTAACACAATTAAAGATGTTTGGAGTTTTATTTTAGTTATTCATTTTAATTTTTTGTCTAAGAGATGCTGATTTGAAACCGTTGTTACATACAGTTACGGCATTTCCTGTTTCTGCCGGAGAGAGAGGAGTTTGTCCCAAAGCTTGCCGCTGTATTTACTCCCTCCATCTCCAAAACGCGCAAATATTCACACGCATGTTCGCGCGTACGTTCGCGCGTATATTCGCGCGTATGTTCGCGCGTATATTCGCGCGTATGTTCACACGTATATTTGCGCGTATATTCGCCCGTATTTGCGCGAATATACGGCCGTTTTTACAAAAAAACGGGCGAAATATACGCGCGTATTATGGCACTTTGGGCTTTCCATACTGGCAGGCTGACTGAGCGGAACCTTTTATCTGGAAACCATGATTCCTTCCGGAAGAAAACTAGGCTGCACCAGCTGGCGTTGCACTAGACCAGTTTTCTAGGTAATGTAACAACTGTTTGACTTGCAAAGTAGGATAACAAGTTGTATCATACACGGTAATGAGGTATTAAGTTGATAATACATTCATAACCTGGCTCACATTTGCAGCTTTACCGTTAACAGGCATCCGGTAACGCGTCGCTTTAAAAGTCAACCCCTAGGTGAGATACCGTAAATGACTGCGACTATTAACTGTTAGCCCTTTATCTAAGGGTAACTGCAGCTTCTGAAGAGGTCACAGACCGCTTGTTGTAAAGTGTATTCCCTGGGACAGATGTGTGTATTTTATATGAAGATGATTTTATTTTGCTGTTAGCGTAAGTTGCGTCTGACGGACACCATGGATGAAGAACCAGAGAGAGCCAAGCGCTGGGAAGGGGGCTATGAGAGGACTTGGTAAGATTTATCTAGGGAGATTATTGTAGATGTATGTGCTATAATTTGACGCAATATTGTCTAATGGATGTGTTACAGGGAAGTGCTGAAGGAGGACGAATCTGGATCCCTGAAAGCCACAGTGGAGGAGATCCTGTTGCAGTCTAATGGCACTTCATATCAAAAAGGTTGCCGACCCCTGCTCTAGATGATAGGAAAGGAGGTTTCAAACTTCCTTTATAACCTCCTTTAGCTTAGGAACCACTGGACCTCCCTTTACGAAAGGAGAGGAGAAAATGCTGCCCCACAATGCCTTGCAGCCGCAGCATTTGCCGTCACACAACATTCGGCCGTTCACGGAAACAACCGATTATGACCGAGAAATTATATCATGAAAGTTACGATGCTTATTAAGCTTTTTAAAACGTATGTGGTAAGTTGCCAAAGTGCTTTGTTTTGAACGTTCATCAGTATTATAATCAAAAAGATAAATATGAACGTTAGTTTTTACTGAAATGATCAAATAAAGTCAACATTTCACAGTCTTTACTGAGCTGTGTGGGGTTTGTTCAACTTTTAAAAGATGTTTGAATGGTGATATACACAGTGATAGATGTTAAAGGTGGGGTAGGTAAGTTTGAGAAACCGGCTCGAAATACACTTTTTGTTATATTCCATAGAATGCTCTTAACATCCCGATAGCAATGAATATCTTAAGTGCTTTGACAAAAAATCCATAAAAAAAAAATGTCATCTGTGGAAGCCGTAGTACTGTAAAAAGCACGACCAATCATTTTAGCCAGCCCGGCTAAAATAACTGGATGGCCTACCTGCCTGTCAGCTTTCCATCTGTGCACAAACTTATCTCGTGCCCTCATTGGTCATGCGTTCGTGTGTGTTGGAGGAGGGGCTCAGTAAGGAAGATTTTTTCCGGTTGTGTATTTTCAAATTCTCGCGCACTAGAGCTGGTTTCTCAAACTTACCTACCCCACCTTTAAGGACTAACGTTTATAATAAATACATTTGTATTTATTTTAAGATCTTTTCATAGTTCATACAATCATACGTATTGGGATCATTTGTATTAATGTGGACCGGAGGGAGAGGGTGACGAGCATAAGTTTCACTTTCCTTTTTTATTTCAATTCCATTTTTGGTCATGAAGAATATGTTTCTCTGTTGTCCCCGTTCATAAAGCATAAAACAACAGCATCAGAGCACGGTGCAGAGTCTCTTGATGCGTTTACAGTAGTCCGTCGTTCTTATTAAACATCCATGTTGTAGTCCGCTGTATAGAAAACTGTAGTTTCCATAGTTTCCCCACAGCAGCAGACGCACATTTATGACGTCCGCTGGCGCATCATAAACACGTCGGATAGTGAAAGTGCAGTCGGATTCTCTAAAGTACCGCAGTCTCTTCTCCTAAGTCCTTTTGAATTCTCCTATCCACTATCCCTTAACCCCGTGACGTTTCACTCAGAGGTCAAGGAATAGACGATAGGGTTAGACGTTAGGAGCTGATTTTTTTACTATTCGACTGGAACGTCTCTCTCACTCATCACTCACTCACTCACAAACCACAAGTGAGAATATAAAGAACAAAATAATAACTTATTCTCACACAACAATCTTCTGCTATGCATGTAGACATTTCGGTCTTAAAAGGGGAGTGATTTTTAAAATACCCATAAAGAAAAAGTAAATCTGTTTACAGTTCTGTTTCATATGGGTGTTGAGATGTATCCATAGATCTCTTCATTTTGCTCTCAAAGTGCACCAGATTGATGCTTTTAACTTCAATATTTAAAAAAAAATCGTCCCAAGGGAGCATGCCCCCGGACCCCCCTAGAGGAGGTGAGGAACCCCTTGAGGAAACACGCTGTTTACAAGTAGTTCCAGCAAACATCCACTGATAAATTGCGATGTTAACAACCTCATGATAACCTCATATTTTTTAATTTAGGATCGTATATCTGTGTTTAGTCAAGGTAAATGTGTGCATTTTATTATAAAGTTGTGTATATTTACAGACTGTTGCAAAAACTAAGAAGCTTATACAAATCAGGTGTAAAACTAAAAGAGCTTTACAAATAAGTAACACAATTAAAGATGTTTGGAGTTTTATTTTAGTCATTCATTTTAATTTTTTGTCTAAGAAATGCTGATTTGAAACCGTTGTTACATACAGTTACGGCATTTCCTGTTTCTGCCGGAGAGAGAGGAGTTTGTACCAAATCTTGCCGCTGTATTTACTCCCTCCATCTCCAAAACGCGCAAATATTCACACGCATGTTCGCGCGTATGTTCGCGCGTATATTCGCGCGTATGTTCGCGCGTATATTCGCGCGTATGTTCACACGTATATTTGCGCGTATATTCGCCCGTATTTGCGCGAATATACGGCCGTTTTTACAAAAAAACGGGCGAAATATACGCGCGTATTATGGCACTTTGGGCTTTCCATACTGGCAGGCTGACTGAGCGGAACCTTTTATCTGGAAACCATGATTCCTTCCGGAAGAAAACTAGGCTGCACCAGCTGGCGTTGCACTAGACCAGTTTTCTAGGTAATGTAACAACTGTTTGACTTGCAAAGTAGGATAACAAGTTGTATCATACACGGTAATGAGGTATTAAGTTGATAATACATTCATAACCTGGCTCACATTTGCAGCTTTACCGTTAACAGGCATCCGGTAACGCGTCGCTTTAAAAGTCAACCCCTAGGTGAGATGCCGTAAATGACTGCGACTATTAACTGTTAGCCCTTTATCTAAGGGTAACTGCAGCTTCTGAACAGGTCACAGACCGCTTGTTGTAAAGTGTATTCCCTGGGACAGATATGTGTATTTTATATGAAGATGATTTTATTTTGCTGTTAGCGTAAGTTGCGTCTGACGGACACCATGGATGAAGAACCAGAGAGAACCAAGCGCTGGGAAGGGGGCTATGAGAGGACTTGGTAAGATTTATCTAGGGAGATTATTGTAGATGTATGTGCTATAATTTGACGCAATATTGTCTAATGGATGTGTTACAGGGAAGTGCTGAAGGAGGACGAATCTGGATCCCTGAAAGCCACAGTGGAGGAGATCCTGTTCCAGTCTAAGAGGAAGAGGTGTGTGTGTGTGTGTGTGTGTGTGTGTGTGTGTGTGTGTGTGTGTGTGTGTGTGTGTGTGTGTGTGTGTGTGTGTGTGTGTGTGTGTGTGTGTGGTGTGTGTGTGTGTGTGTGTGTGTGTGTGTGTGTGTGTGTGTGTGTGTGTGTGTGTGTGTGTGTGTGTGTGTGTGTGTGTGTGTGTGTGTGTGTGTGTGTGTGTGTGAAGGTCTATGAGGTTCAGAACTCCGCTACGTGTTCCTGTAGCTCATAGAAAGCAAACCTTGGTGTTGGGCCTGTAAACCGTGAGTTGCAAGGTGCTGTGTCATGAGTAAGAATTCACACTTGACACTTGCCCCTTCTGTTGCTGAGCTAACCCTAACCTGCCATCTCCATTCAAAGGGCCGTGCTTGGTTTCAATGGAGCCGCTCTAGCTTTCACCATTACAAAAGGCACAGCGCCCTTGATGTTATGTACTTACATGTAATATACTGTTCCAGAGCTGGCTCCACTTGCATCTGCAACGTGGTTTAGCTGAGCCAATGTCACTTCCCCAAATCCACCCGTTTCAGGCCTCTATCAGCTTTAAACTCTTCAAGTTTGCAGAGCTCCTTCAGCAAACTTGTGCAGCCATGGCTGGTACAATATCCTCCAAACAAGTTCCTTTCTGCACAAGTCTTGAAGAATCCTTTTGACGGATAGGACCATAGGTGCCAAGATTCCTAAGTGGTCATAGATTGAGCTGACATTAGATAGGATATCATCGTAAAGGATTCAGAAGAAGATGCCCACCACCAAAAATTATTGTAAATAAATACCATATAGAAAAAAACCACACCTTACATGTGACTCCTATAGATTATACCAAATGTCTTTTGCACTGCTATATTGTCTGTTGAATGTTTTCCCCTGGCTGCTGTATTGCTTTATATTCATTGATATAACAGTCTGCACTGGCCACTTCCAAAAAGAAAGCCGTTAATCCTCCAAAATGATTGTTAGTATAATCTTATCTGCTGCTCTTTTCTCCTCATAGGGTGATAGAGAGCCATGGACAAGTAAGGCTTGGAATGGTAAGTGAGTTCTGCATCCTTGCCACAGAACCTTCAATGTTCTGTATGCTTCCAAATAATCCCAAGGTTTCCAGGATCGCATGAAGGCACCTATTCCACCACAATACCTTTTTATACATTTTAGTAAAGCCCAAAATAGCCAAATAACCTTTTTGGTCACCATTGTGTATACAATTACTGTTTGAATGGAATCTTATTATCAGACAATAAATGCAGAGCTTAGAACAAATTCTTGTTTCTTATTTACAATATAACAGTTAATATAACACTCAAGTCCTATAGAGAAGAAGATTAACCTTTATTTAACCCCCTAGGGGGAAATTCAGTTTTTCACTCTTGTATTTATTTTGTATCCACACACACACACACACACACACACACACACACACACACACACACACAGTATACAGGCCTGTGAGGGCAATGTAGCTTGACATAACTCTTGCAGGAATTCATTTGGTATCACAACACTGTACTGTATGTGCCCTAGATGCGTCACCTCCACGTGGTAATTGACTGTTCAAGAAGTATGGATGACCATGACTTAAAACCAAACCGCCTCACCTCCACTCTGAAGGTACGTTCTGCAGCAGAGCATCACTGCACCAGCAGTATATGATGCCATGAGGTGTAAAGCTCCATCTCTTTTCTCCTGTCCTCTGCAGCTCATGGAAACTTTTGTTGATGAGTATTTTGACCAAAACCCCATCAGTCAGGCAAGTTTATACTTTCATGCTTATGTTTACATACTGGTTGTGTTATATTCGAGTAATGGTTGCTCAACAGGAAGCTACTTTTGGCAAAGGCTTCTGCCTCAAAACTTGTGATAGGAATTTCTCATTATTTTTGAGATTTCTTTGACAAATGATGAACGTAACTCAAAGATTAATAAGTAAAACGTATTCATCAACGATGTTGCTGTAAAATGACTACAATTTATTTCACAGGTTCTTCAATTAATTTGTAATATTCCTAACAGGGATTAATACCAAGTGTCTAAGCTTAACAGCTAATTGAGATTCTGAAATAGTTTTCTTTAAAGCCCAGCATGTGAGAGAATCTTTTCTCCTCCTTTATGAATAAATTGTTAAAGGAACCATTTTGATCAGCAACACCACAAATCATTTGTCATTAAAGACAGCACTGCTGCAGTCAGACCAAACACACTGAATTGTTGTAGAACGAGACAATATCTGC